AATTCCTTCCGTAGGGTAGATAATTAGCATTTAATTTTGCCATTTTTGGACAAGGGTGTATTTCAATGAGTGCCACACCTAGACCCCAGCACCGACAAAGCCCAAATTTTACGTGGAACGAGTTGAGATTATAGGTGACCTAAATCCAAGAGATGGGTATGGCAGCCCTTACCATCTAGGAGGAGAAGCGGTAACGGTGAGATGGCGGCGGAGCCAGAGGAGCCGGCGGAACATGCGGGTCGGGACTAAAACCATGTGTACCGCCAGCACCTACGCTGGTGGTACAATAACTGGATTTGGTTAACATTTATAAAAAATCAACATAAAAAAAACTAATCTGACAAATTTCAAAATATCATATCATATTATTTCACATTATGAAAATAGTAAAAAAAAAAAAACAAAAAAACTTCATACTCATTTATCATAACATGTTCACTTACTTCACAGTAGCCTGTGTCCCTGCTCCACCCTCAGGTAAAACCTGCACTACCAGATAACTGTGGAGGTCCAAATGAGACCCATGACTGCGTAAAATGGTGTCCTTCCTGACCTGTTTCAACACAAACTTGGAAATGTCAATGGTGAAAGTCCTTGGAATACAATTGCCTTCTTTATAATAGTCGCCATATGTGGATTGTAAAACTTCAGGAGCAATGGCGTTGTTGGTCGTGTCAATTATGACGGGGATGGAGACACAGGGATGATGTTTAGATGACTGCTTTGTCAATTTGGCTGATGGCTTTTCTCCCTTTTTCTCCTCATTTATATCTTTTTCGATAATTTCCTCCTTTGGTCTAAACTCATAGAATTCATCAGCTGGGAAGAAGACTTTATTGTCTTTGGAACCGTCTTGAGAGACGGGAAGAGAGGCTGGCGATTTTTCTTGAGCCTCTCCCCGAAACAATCCACTGTTGTAGCTCCCTTTTGCCTCCACAGCTCTGTCAACTAAGTCACTGAGGATAGTGTAAGATCTTTCTACGCTGTCCCAGTCCAACATGAAGTGGTGCTCATCTTCCTTATTTGTGTACTCAAGTTCCACTTCATCTTCACTGCTGTAAAAGTTGTCAAACTGCTCCTCATATTCAGCAACCTGGCTGCTCCATCTCAGCTTTCCTCTTTGCTTTGTTGCTCCTTTCTTTGAGATTTTTGAACTGCCATTGTTGTTGTGTTCTGCATCTGCAAATAATACAGGATGCAGATTACTTAAAATGAGGATATTACGAAGTAATGATAATTAAAATTAACTTTGCAAGTGTGAACAAACTTGTTAAAATTATATTTTAAAAGTATTAATTTAGTATGTTTTATTTTATTAATATAGTCCAAAATTGGCCTTCACTAAAATCATTATTTTTGTAAACACATTTCAACTTCTCAACCAAAAATGTGCTTTCCAACAAAATTTTAAAAGGGAAAAATGCAAAAAATTAAGAATACCCATTAATCGTAAAGCCTTACCTTCATAACTGGATACGCCTTGATCTCTAATATACTTCTTATTATGTGTGATTGAGCTGGTCTTAGGACAAGGGTAGTATATTTCATAGCTGACAGCATGCTGCACAGTGTCCACAGCTTCCTCTCCAATACCCTCTTTGTCATAATCTACTCCATACTTTTTCCTCATTTTTGCCAGCCGCTTTTCCCTTTTCTTCTGGCTTCTTTTACCATTACCAGACTTAACAAGCACGCTGGCTGCATCAAAGTATGTATGTCCCTGTGGCTTGATCTCAACATAGCTCCCATTTCTTCCCGAGCTGCAATAACTAATACAGTCAGCCTGTTGTTTGATTTTGTGGTGCTCAAACAAAGCAACCTCGCAATCTTCATTTTTCCATTCACCCTCATGTATACTTTGCTTTAAGAGCTTTGGGAGTTTCCATCGGCCCTTCTTGTTGAGGGAGTAGGTAACGCCACTTGCCTGAAGACCCCCATCTTCGATGTCATCTCCAACGCCCTTGGCAGTGGAGTATTTAAGCAGGGATGCTTCGGTGGCGTAGCAGCGTTGGTAGTGAGAGTTTGAGGCTCTCAGGGTGTTGCCCGAGTGGACGTTACGTTTCCAGCCTTTCCAAACCATATTTGAGGCTTTGTCTTTGCTATCTGAATAAAAACACAAGACAATGATAACAATATTTACATTCTAAGTGCCTGTAGATCTAGATATGCAAGGATGTTAATAAATTTCAATAATAATTAGAGAAAATGTCACATGCAAAATACATTTCCCAACAGCAAAACTAGCAAAATCAATATATATTTCTCTCGTATCCTTTGATTAACATTTAAGCTTGCTCTAATTCAGCATTTGCTTCAAAATCATGCAATGCAAATGCAAAGAGCAACGAGAGGTTTTTTAGGTTTATACACTTCCGTATACTGTATTTACAATTTAGCAAAATATATTATAATATTTCTACCTTAAAATTATATGTCACGCCAACAACAGTACCTGTATAAATATTCTCCCCTTTTCTTCGTTTCTTCTTCTTGTTTTCTGTTTTGGAATACTGACATATGTATGTTCCAACTTCATATTTATACCGTTCGATGATCCAACTTTCTACTGCTTGTGCAAGACCTACCTGTACGTTCTATTTTTAACTTGTTTTATTGGGGCAGTTAAGCAGCGTTAAGTGTGATACTTGTATTAGTTTTATAAAAAATATTTTCCAATAAAACAAATAAAATCACAAATCAAATAAAATTTCACATAAAATAATAACTTTTATTAATTTTTTTTATAATATTAAAGTATTTATAAAAATATACACCTTGAAATGATTTCTTGCAGTATGTGAAACTCTTTTATAGTAAAAAGGGACTAGCTTTGCATAAAATTGAAGCTGTCACCTGAGGGAAAGGAACTACTTTAGGGCAACAATATACAACGACATGGTTTAAAAAAGAAAACAGACTTAGAACACTAGGTAAATATGTTGTTAATTCATCCTGTATTGCTATTTTTGTACGTGGAAACTGTTAACCGTCTTTTACAAGGGTGAGGTCAAGCTGTTTACGTTGTGCACACTGACCGCTACTGCCACAGGCAATGTGTAACTTAGCCGGCGTTGCCATATAAATTATGATCATATCTGTAATGTTTGCTGCTGGGCATGGAACTTAAGCCTGATAATAAGGTTAGACTTACAGACCAAAGTTGAGTTTTATTTTGACAGTTTCATCATATTGAATCCAGTATCTGGTTTATAACATTTACGACAGTGAAAAAAATAAATAAATAAAATAAAAATAGACGAATGCATTAAAGACCAATAGCCAATGATAAAACTGGACCAATATGCTTTTATCTTGAACTTGAAGGGGTCCAGTTTTGGTTTGTAAAACTTGAACCAGTTTTCAGCAAAATTTATATAACCGGCCACAAAAATGATCAGTGTAATTGTTGGTGTTGTGTGAGAGGAATATGGTGTCCACAATTAATTGTTGTCCATTTCTCATTAGTTGTACATGTGCCATTCATTCCATATACTGACTTGATATGTACAGCTAACTCGATATGTACAGCAGGAACCAAATCTCCCTCTGAACCAACATTGGAGGCGACAACGGAAAGCTCCCCCAAAAAAGCCGCACCCACCTGGTATGGTAATGTTTTGCGCAGAAGTAGTGCTGATCATGAGGAAAACTAAAAAGGACAAAAGTGAACAGTAAAATTATGATGGTGTTGTTTTCTGGTTGGAAAGGGTTGAACAATGTCCACGTGTATGAGACATAATTTTTTACTCTGGCAGATCGAACTTGTTAAAAATGTCAGCATTGGTGAAAAATGACTTTTACATTGGTAAAAATCCAACAATTGCCTTGTATGTTGACTAAAGGCAATAGGAATATGATTTTTTAACGTATGAAATTTTTTTAATGTATAAAATATTTACAAACTTTTTTGTGAACATAAATATGTTACTTTTGCCACAACTTAGCCTTCACTCACCAAACAGAAGAGCGACGCCAAACTTGGTTTTCATGGTGCTGCATCAAGTCGGCAAATTGGTCAAAAGCCTTTGCAGTTATGTTTGACAGGCTTCTTTTTATACAAAAAACGGGAGGTTATCTTAAGATATAGCCACTGTCGTGTCAATGAGTGCTATCTGACTGAATCTAAAGAGCTTTTTCATTATTAGACTTAAAGTGCAATTTCATAGCTATCGACATGAGACGATTTACAGGGCCCTGCGTGCTGTCACACAATCTTCATTTGAGTAACATCCGATCGAAAAAAAAAAAGAACTCAAGAAAATTCTGCAGCAAAATTGAGATGGCTAATAATGTATTGCAGAGAATCCAGTGCATTTGTTGTTTGGTCGGCAAGCTGCGCATACATTGGGTTGATTGCGATCGAATTCTTTTGGAATCAATTTTAAAACGGTCCACGTCAGACTTGAATAAACTTGGCCATCAACTCTTATCAAGATTATGTGGACATTTTTTCTTTCGCATAATGGGAAAACATCACTGATCAAACCCCGATTAGCAAATAAACAAACAGAAAATCTATTTGTGCACACAATCTGGTCTTTTTCCATCTTTATCGGGGAAGGAGAATGAGCCAACAATCAATTTTCTTTGAGGGGTCTCACGTATTGAGAAAAGAAAATGCCAGCTGCATGTTTTCTTGAATAACCAGAATAAAACTGTCTGATGCCATTTCGACAACAATCCGTTCATTAGAAGTCTTATCTACTGAGCTACTCAGTTATCTTACATTCTTGATGTTTGAAAGATCCTTTCATAATAGATGAAATGATTAATTTTCTTTGATTTTGTAGAAGGTAATTTTATTGTTGGTTTCCCAAACGGGCTTGGAATGGAACCTGGGATCTTCGGACTCCGCGGCAAATGCAGATTCCAAGATGTAGATGTAAATAAATTTATTACATCAAAAAATGTAAAATACAGTCAATGATTGTAATGTTGCAAGCATTTGAACAACAATTTTGTTTTATGTTCACCTATTCTTTAATTATCTAATTTAATATTGATTTCAATTCCATATACACAAAAATATTAAAAGGGACCTTAAAAATCAATTTATACATATATGTAAAATAACAACACTCCTAAGGTTACAAAAGGTAAACCTGAATTTTAGTTTTAGTTCTGCATCTCTGCATTTGTCGAACAAAAAGCTGCATTTGTATCTGTGATAAATTGCAGTTACATTGGGTTTTCATGATACAAAATATTCAATGACAATATATTCCCTTTGCATGATTGATCTACTTGAAATTAGTCATACAAATATCAATGATGAGGTTTCACTTGATAGTTCAACAAGTCTCTGGATTTCCTGTCCCCAAATAATACAGGCAGTTCCCTGGCTTAGTTAACTAGGAATTCTATTAGGGTGTTGTTACACTTTTCCTGATAGGGCAAGATGTGCCCATGTGACCATGTAACCTTGGTAATTCAGTTCTTAGTCAGAAAACCTGACTTAAATTTTTTGTGTGAAACCAGGACCAGTCTGGAATTGCCTGTATGGTAGTCAGAAGCTACACAATAACCTACGTCAATCATTATGAAAGATGGTGAAATAGATGTTCAACTTCAAAGTAAAACTGTTTTCCCTTCAACACTTTACATCTGTTTCCCACTTTGTCGCAGCACAGAAGCCAAGGATTGTACACAGGTCTTTCCAATGGACATCAGCTTGCTCAGTTTTTTCATGATTGTGTCCATGTTTGAGAATCTTTCATCATTGAAAATCTAAAAGAGTGAATTATATTGAAATTGATTTCATTTGGGAATGTTTGATTGCACCCAGAGAAAGCAATTTACAGTAAGATTATTTATCCCATCTTTTAGAAGAAAATGTACATTTATTGTTAAAGAATGTGAATTAAAAGAGCATGTATGTAATATTAATTTTGGATTCTTTTATAGAAACTACGATCAAAATATGATTCTTGAAAAAAAGTCAAGCAAGGTGGTTATCTAATGACACCATCAGGACTTTATCTGACCAAAGTTAGGTAGTTCATTTGTGAACTTAGCTTCAGGAGCAAAACAACTCACCTCATTTATGCTCCAGGAGACGAAATCAATGCGCTTAAAGATGGGCTCAACTCCTGCCGCTACTTGGTCATCCTGCAGATGGAGGGCAGTGTGCTCTGCCAAGTGGTGAAGCTGCAATATAAAATACAGCAATTATAAGACAATCAAAATTATATGGGAGTCTTTTTCACTATCTCCTGTGTTATGATGGTGAAACACTTAATTATTAAGTCATGTTTTAGGTGAAATTTGATCTAGGTACACAAAGGTTCGTGGTAAAAGGTCCTTTTTTTAAATGTATTTACCTCAGCATTGAAATCAGCTGCTGACTCTAAAAATTTCTGCATCTGTTCAAGTTTTTCCACTCGTTTCTGGACTTGCTTTGCAATTATGGGAAAGTCTAATTCCCCATGCTGTAATACATAAAATAAATAAATGATTAAATAAATAAATAAAATCAGCGAAACAGAACTGGCACTTTCACATTTGTAATATCTGATTTTCAGTAAAGAAACTCAAAGTTCATTTTAATAAGGCAGATGAGTTTTAAGCAAAATTGCAACTGCTGAAAGGAAAATTAAAAAAAAATTCCTTTCAACAGTTGCAGTTTTGCTTTTAATTAAAATTTGCTTACCTTCCCTCTGTACAGCATTGTCTTGATTTTCTTATCAATGCCTGATCCATGATATTCCCGGGCTGCTCGCCTGTGTTCCACTGAAGACCTATACAGCATTTCTTTACTGAGGTTGCTGACAAACTGAACGGGGGACGCAATGTACCTCAGAGTAATTGCCTAAAAAAGCAATTAAAGTTTACAATTAATTTCCATTAAAGTAAATAAATTTAATTGTAAACATCATTACAGGGCTGGTTGCAGTTGATTTTATAGCAGGATACATTTGTAACCAATTTCTCTCTATCTCTCCATTTTATACGTTTGTCCCTCTTCCAACGTCCACTTTAAATGTACTTCATGTATACATTGGCCATGTTTGTTTGTGCTCAGCTTAATTACACCTTAGCTGGTAGTGGGGGCTTGTCAGACAATTTAGCATATTTCATTGAATGCACTTGAGCTAGAATCGCCTCAGAGTTGCATGTGGTAAGATGTCTCACCCTGATTGCTCTTTAAAATGAAATTTTTCACATACTTCATTTGTGGCAGCAGTATTGCCTTGGCTACAGATGCATTTTTTGGCCAGACATTGCCAGCAGAAGTCTTTTCCACAGCGACAAATCATACGTGAACATCCTCCGTTCTTCTCTATAGGAAGTCGACAGTGAGGGCAACGTCTCACAAAGACCACAGCATCTTCAGGTCCAGAAGCGGAATTGTCTTCTAAAAACAATATGTATCCAGTTAAAATATTGTATATTTAAAGATACTTACAATCAAGTCAAAGAAAAAGCACATTTTATTTGCATTTTTTAAAATATTCAATTCCTTTAGTCTGTAAAGAAAACAAAAAATATGCATATAAAATCCTCATATTAAATGGCATTGAGCAAAAATTGATTTACTTCAGCATCAAAAACAATTTAAAGATGAAAATTACTGAAAGTTCTGAAAAACAAGCTATAAAATATTTTTTTTTGAGAATTATATCATAATAAAAAAGAAATTGTTTTAAAAGGGACATCATCTTTTTGAACTTTGAGGTACAATTGACTTTTTTAACAGTACATAAAAAACAATGAAAACCTATTTCATCAAACTTACTTCTAACTCTCAGCTTGCGTTTGTAATTGTTAGCTAGGTCGCACCTAGCTGGCCAATGAGGCGCTTTCATACACTTGAAACAGACAGCAGCGCCACACTTACAGGATACAGACACGGATTCCTCGGCTGCGTGACCTGGTAACAGAAAACAACTGAATTTTACCACACCTTTACATGCTTTTTGACCTCTTATTATACTGTATTAATGGTGGTAATTATTTTTGCCCTGAGGATTGCTGCAGTTTTCACTTTTCACATTTTAGCCCCTTCTTGTATTAAATAAATTAAATCTAAATAACTCTTTATCATCATTATCTTTATTAACACAGTGAATTTATCAAATTAAAATCTTTATTGCTGGGTTTACTTCATGCTATAAGCTTCAACAATTGTAAAATCAGAAATTTCATAAATCTTTAAAGTCTCTATAAGGCCCTATTCAGAACAATGGATTAACTAGTCCATGGCTCAGATATGGTGACACAATAAAAAGCTTGATGTATAATCCACTGATAGACAACAAATAGATTCCCTGCATGGATTACATAACAAGCATTCAAGTGGGTTGGCCATATTTGATCCACGGATAAGTTAGTCCATGGTTCTTGATGTGTTTGCCTCTTAGGAAAACTAGTTGCTGGACTGAAAGGTCAGCCATTTTTAAAATTAGCTGGCTCGAATGTCTGCCAGGTGGAAAAACTTCTCAGCCTGTTCTGAAAGTTGTCTGCCCCGGCAGACGGTCCAGCGTTAATTTCTAACACTGACGCCTAAGTCACCTTTAGCCATGATCATCCTGCCACACTTGCGGTTAGGGCACCACTTCAGGTTCTCCTCCATGCTCAGAGCCATCTCATGTTTCTGCATCAGGTGATGTCTGACTGTCCTGACGTCTACCAAAGATACCAGTGTTGCAATGTCAAGTCTGGAGGAGCACTGGTATTCCTGAAGATTAAAGGTGCATATATGTAAATATTTGGTGTTATTTTCATAATGTGTTATTTTATGTTAAAACACAAGTTTTATAAATGGCAACACATACATTTGGTGACTTTTAAGACAATAAAGTTTGACTTTATTATTGATAGTTTATAATTATAAATACACACATTATTATCACAAGTCATACAAATGGTTACACACAAATCCACTTACTGGACAATACAGGATCATATCTCCCTGCTGCACCCTGCTCTCAATGTGCTGTTGCCAACAGTTACGACAGAACCAATGATAACAAGGGCTGATGGCCACGCCCATTGCATACCCCTGGGACGTCCACTCAAAGCAGATATTACAGTACTCTTCACTTTGCCTGTAGACAACACAGGTGTCTTCCTCACAGGTTTCATCCATCTATGGAATAGAAATATGCTGTAAATTCAGTTTGGTGGTTTGCATGATACCTTTAATAAGGATATCAAATTTTGATATAATTCAGTAATGCACAAACAAATGTTTATGCAAAATTATATTGTTTTTTATTTTTACTTTTGTTAAATTTATTTCAGTATAAAAATGAATTATATTATCATCATGTGACTCGTTCTACCAACACATTGTTAAAAAGAAAAAGCATTCTTAACAATCAGATATTATATTATAATTATTCATAATACCTCTGATTTACCAGATACATCTTAATAATATCTCAGGTTATCCACATATATTTGTACCAATATAATAATAATAAATTTATAAACGGAGGCATACCTGTGTGTTCGCCGTAGAATCTCCAATGAGAGTGCTATATAATTCTGCTGGAAGCCCTGAAGCAGTTTCCCATTTGCAAGCTGAACTCAGAGTGTCAAACTTGAGAGATGCCTTACTAACTGTCATAGGTGGAGCAGAGGTTGTGTAAAAACTGAAAATTAATCAGTAGCCAATATTATGAGATTCTCAATGTTCTTGCGTTCCATTTCAATAAATTAAAAGATACCTTTAAGAACAAACACCCATCAGCACTTTTATACATCTTAAACTATGTAATTTGTAGAAAATTTAACTTCTGGAGCAAGATTTTAATAGTTAACAAGCTTCATTGACCAACAACTCTACTACAGGACAACTGACATTAAAAATTGTCGTAAACACTAGACTTCTGATTGAGAATATCTGTACCACCCTTACCATTCAAAAGGCAGCATGCAGATATAAACAGCAGTTGCTGACACCAGGGCATCCACTGAGGCATATATACCCATGTCATTCAGAGTTTCAATCTTCACCGTCTCCATCTTGAAGTTGCCTTTCAAGCTTACCCTAAAAAAACAAAATCCCAAAAACATGAACAAGTTAAATGGATCAACTTAAAAAATTAATCTAATAAATTTCAAAATGTCAAAACATACATATCAAATCTCCCCTGCATTTATTTTTGAAAATAGCCAAAAATTAAAATAAATAAATAAATAAATAAATAAATAAAAAGAATAGAAATTCAAATAAATTTCTACGTTCATTTATCATAACATGTTCACTTACTTCACAGTAGCCTGTGTCCCTGCTCCCCCCTCAGGTAAAACCTGCACTACCAGATAACTGTGGAGGTCCAAATGAGACCCATGACTACGTAAAATGGTGTCCTTCCTGACCTGTTCAAGCACAAACTTGGAAATGTCAATGGTGAAAGTCCTTGGAATACAATTGCCTTCTTTATAATAGTCGCCATATGTGGATTGTAAAACTTCAGGAGCAATGGCGTCGTTGGTCGTGTCCATAATGACAGGGATGGAGACACAGGGATGACCTTTAGATGACTGCTTTGTCAATTTGGCTGATGGCTTTTCCCCCTTTTTCTCCTTATTTATATCTTTTTCGATAATTTCCTCCTTTGGTCTGAACTCATAGTATTCATCAGCTGGGAAGAAGACTTTATTGTCTTTGGAGGTGTCTTGAGAGACAGGAAGAGAGGGTGTAGATTTTTCTTGAGCCTCTCCTTGAAACAATCCACTGTTGTAGCTCCCTTTTGCTTCCACAGCTCTGTCAACTAAGTCGCTGAGGACAGTGTTAGATCTTTCTACACTGTCCCAGTCCAAAGTGAAGTGGTGCTCATCCTCCCTATTGGTGTCCTCAAGTTCCACTTCATCTTCACTGCTGTAAAAGCTGTCAAACTGCTCCTCATATTCAGTAACCTGACTGCTCCATCTCAGCTTCCCTCTTTGCTTTGTGGCTCCTTTCTTTGAGATTTTTGAACTGCCATTGTTGTTGTGTTCTGCATCTGAAAATAATACAGAATGCAGCATACTTAAAATGAGGATATTAAGAAGTAATGATGATTAAAATTAACTCTGCAAGTATGAACAAACTTGTTAAAATTATTTTCTAAAAGTATTTGTATGCTTTTTTAATTAATATAACACAAGGTCTTGCCTTCACTAAAATCATTATTTTTGTAAACATATTTTAACTTAACCCAAAATGTGCTTACCAGAAAAAAAATTAAAAGGGCAAAATAATAAAAATTAAGAATACCCATTAATCGTAAAGCCTTATAATTACCCTCATAACTTGATACATCTTGGTCTCTAATATACTTCTTATTATGTGTGATTGAGCTGGTCTTATGACAAGGGTAGTATATTTCATAGCTGACAGCATGCTGCACAGTGTCCACAACTTCCTCTCCAGTACTCTCTTCGTTATAATCTACTCCATACTTTTTCCTCATTTTTGCCAGCCGCTTTTCCCTTTTCTTCTGGCTTCTTTTACCATAACCAGACTTAACAAGCACGCTGGCTGCATCAAAGTATGTGTGTCCCTGTGGTTTGATCTCGATACAGCTCCCATTTCTTCCCGAGCTGCAATAACTAATACAGTCAGCATGTTGTTTGATTTTGTGGTGCTCAAACAAAGCAACCTGGCAATCATCATTTTTCCATACACCCTCATGTATACTTTGTTTCAAAAGCTTTGGGAGTTTCCATCGGCCTTTCTTGTTGAGGGAGTAGGTAACGCCACCTGTCTGAAGACCCCCATCTTCGATGTCATCTCCAACGCCCTTGGCGGAGGAGTGTTTTAACAGGGATGCTTCGGCGGCGTAGCAGCGTTGGTAGTGAGAGTTTGAGGCTCTCAGGGTGTTGCCCGAGTGGACGTTACTTTTCCAACCTTTCCAAACCATATTTGAGGCTTTGTCTTTGTTATCTGAATAAAAACACAAGACAATGATAATAATATTTACATTCTAAGTGCCTGTAGATCTAGATATGCAAGGATGTTCATAAATTTCAATAATAATTAGATAAAATGTCACATGCAAAATACATTTCCCAACAGCAAAACTAGCAATAGGCAGCATAATCTCGTATCCTTTGATTTACATTTAAGCTTGCTCTAATTCAGCATTTGCTTCAAAATCATGCAATGCATATGCAAAGAGCAACGAGAGGTTTTTTTATGTTTATACACTACTGTATAATACAGTGTATTTACAATTTAGCAAAATTAGCGAGCGCAGACGTCCCTAGGTGGCGTTAGTTGTTCTATTTCGCGAAGCGCCATTAAAACTGTCCCCAGAGTATCAGATTTCAACCCGCTCTTACAATGCACGGCGTGTCTCAACTACTGCATCGGGAACAACCCTACCTTAACACGTGATAGAGAACAGATGTTACTTCCTTTTGGGTATTGTTTTCGCGATCTACGAGAGGTCAGAAGTGAAAATTTTTAAGGGCAAACTTTTAAACTGATTTATTTTTTGAAGTCGGCAAAGGGCGGCAAGACAAAATATATGCCATGTAGAAGAACAAGGACTAAGGTTTCTGTAACATTTTATTTGTCTTAAGCGACCACCTCTTATTTTACAATGTTGTAAGCGACTTGAATAATACACGTGTGTTCCAGCATGGCGGCTTACAGAGTTAGCACGTTTATGTTACATGGTGTCAGAAGTTAAACTTTTCCAGCTATTAGTGAGTCCTTACACATGCCATATAACATTTTAATTGTGCGAGACACTAATTAAAATGGCATATGCATTCGAGCAACCCAGTTTCGATTGGGAGTCTAAAAATTTGTACTTGGAATTTACTCGATTCCGACAGCATGCTGAGCTCGTTTTCAAGGGTCCACTATCACAAACAGATGATAAGATAAGGGCAGGATGGTTGGGCATGTGGATTGGAAAACAAGGGAGAGAAATTTATAAAACATTCACTTGGGAAGAAGATGAAGAGGATAAACCAGAAGCAATATTCGGCAAGCTTGAAAATTATGTAAGACCCAGAAAAAACAAACGTGCACAAAGATTTAATCTCCAGAAAAGGAAGCAGGAGGAAGGTGAGACATTTGACAATTTTGTAAAAGACATCAGATTGATTCTTATGGATTGTGAGTACCAAGACGCTGAAGACATTTTAATTGACTGTATAATACGTGGGGTGTACTATCCTCGAGTTCAAGAGAAACTGTTAGAAAAAGGGGAAAGACTTACTCTAGCTCAAGCATTAGAAATAGGCAGACAGTATGAGTCATCCCAGCAACAAATGAAGATTCTAAGACCAGAAGTTGAAGTTTCCGCCATTAATCACAAGTCACATAAGAGTAAGGAAAGCCATGCTAGTAGAAATCCCTCACAAGCCTCTAAGAGACAGGAACACGTACCTTGGAAGCAAAAGAACAAGAAATGTGGTCAGTGTGGTTTAGATATTGCAACAGCCCATAGAA